AGGTAGTTTGTTTTCTAATAGAAGACAATATATGTAGCTCAGGGTTGAACTGTGGAGTCTTTGGTACTCTCTGAGCTTGGTTGTTTGCTTGCAGATGTTTCATTACCCAACTAGGTAACATCATCAATGCTGGTAACAACATCAGCACTGAAGATGTTACCTAGTTGGGTAATGAAACATCTGCAAGCAAACAACCAAGCTCAGAGAGTACCAAAGACTCCACAGTTCAACCCTGAGCTACATATATTGTCTTCTATTAGAAAACAAACTACCTATCTATGTTCTCATTAATAGCTTCTAGGCCTATGTGACTCTTACGATAAATTGTACTTTTATGTGTATGTGTGCCTTTGAGTCAGTATTTTACTCCTGGCGATTGCCTGGGCAATCCCTGCAGATTTCTTTTCAAGATTTTGGAAGTGGTTTGCCATTGCCTGCTTCCTAGGGCTGAGAGAGAGTGACTGGCCCAAGGTCACCCAGTTGGCTTTGTGCCTAAGGCGATACTAGAACTCACACTCTCCCAGTTTCTAGCCTGATGCCTTAACCACTATACCAAACTGACTCTCTAAATTCTACTTAGTTTTTGTTTATTTTACTTATTGTAACAAAAATGTTGTTCACTCCTGTTCCAAAAATGCTGTCTTTAATTTTAAAAGCCAGTATGTCAGGTCTAGACAACCTGGTGTTGGGTGATATTTTTGACTACAACATTGATGAAGTTCAGCCAACACTTGCAGGATCCACAATAACTTTCCAGATCATAACCAGAATATCGAATAACCAGTTGGCCTTAAAAAAACTGGGACACTGGTACAAACAGTGCCAGCTTAGTCACTGACTGCTGTAGGGTCTGCCCATAAGTGACTGCTCCTGAATCAAAAATACAAAACCCAGTACAGACGTGGTTCCTTATCACATTATGTGGTGCATATGGGCTGCAGGACAAGGAAACTACATGGGCTACTTACTGCAGTCAGAGGTATCATACCTAACCCATATATTTACCTTTTCTATGGTCTTTTCACAGGCTTAGAACCACTGAAAAACAGCCTGCCTGGGGAGATTAGATTGAAAGGATGGTGACCCCAACTCTGCTTACTCTTCTTTACATGCAAACCTAGAGCTCAAAGAAGTTGAAGGATGGATGAAGGCAAGATCCGCACAGGTAGCAGCCTTGCTGGCACCGCGGACAGAGGGCATAATGCGGATGACTGTCACACCGCCGCCACTCTCAGCTCCGTCCCACTCGGACCCAGGGGTCGAGGCTTACCGCCGCATTCCTTGGCACCCCACGGTTCACCCGCGCCGCTCTGCCGAAGATGAGAGCACAGGAAATCCCGCGCCGACTCGAGGTCCTGGAAGCTGCAGAAGGGCACGAGAGTGCAGGCCATGGCGTCGCCCAGTCCCCCGCGCCCGAAGCCCAGCTGGCTCACCAGACTTGCGAGCTAGACTGCCAACCCCACCCGGAAGCGGTCAAAGCCCCTGCAGACGCTACTACGCAGGCGCCGAGCAGACCAGGAAAGGGAGGAGAACCAACCCCGAATGACAGCGTTGCTCACGTGGCTGGGGAGAGGCGCGGTGCCTCGGGCGGCCGCTCTTCGCTCGGAGCTGGCGGAGCGGAGCAAGAAGCGGCAAAGGCTAAAGCCTGAACTGACGCGTTTTTCTTTGGCAGCGTCTTAGGACCATGGCTGCCTTTGCACACAGTGACTTACTACACCATCAGTTATTCAGTGAACACAGGTTTCGGGTTTCTGGGACACCCGGAACTGTAAGTTGTCCGCACGGGTTGGTACACAGGGTAAAATGGGATGGGTGACTTCGGATGCCGTGCGAAAGCGATCGATCCGGTCCTGGTGATCTTTACTGGAAGAGAGCTGTAGGCAGATTAGCGAGAGGGTGCGTGCTTTAGATGCAACAGATTTCCAGTTCTGTCTCAGAGAAGGTGGCAGGTCTTCAGTGTAGACCCTGTTAAACCAGAAGGTCCCATTTAGGGCTGTGCGCGAAAGGAAAAGTATATTTTATTTCAAAGCCAAAATAAGCCATACGTTTTACTGAACTGTTTCGGCTTGCACTCGTTCGGCAGAATCAAAACCTGAGGTCCGGAGGAATCTCAGAGTGATGTTATGGGGTGAGCAAGGCATCCCACCCATCCCTCTCCCAATATGTCATATCCCACTGGCTCAGTCACCCCAGATTTCCAGCACCTTCTTTTCCTCCTCTCAGCAGCCCCCTCTAGGGACCCAGCCTTTCTCTCTCTGCTCCTCCTCTGCTGTACAGTACTGCTGTTTCTACCTGGAGCATCCAGAATATTTGTGTTTCAGCTCAGGCGCAGGCAACCTGAAACAGCTGTTGGGCCCACAGAACAGGTGGCACATCCCTAGTACTGGGGTCTGATTTGGTAGCTGATACACTTATTGTGGTAAGCAACAGAATGCTTTGTTTACCTTTGGCCCAGCAAAGTTTGTTTGTTAAATAGTGATTATAGTGTGAACCTAGTTAAATGGTGATTACTATGTGAGCCTAGTCAGCTGTGGTTTGTTTGTTGAATTGTAGTTAAGCAAACCATGGATTAGCACAAGGTATGAGCCTAGCAAGAGTGAAACAAATTCCTTTGTTCTTGCTTAAACTTAAACTAAGTTAACAGATTTCAGTGAGACTGTTTTCTTTGTAAATTGTTTGGGAGACTCTAGTCAATGTGCTGTGGTCTACAAACTGAGCCGGGTCAGAACATAGAGTTTGTTTAGCTCAGTGAGGTAAGAAGATTGGATAATGTGATCAGTAACAACAATTACAAGCACATATTATGTTCACAGCATCTTCAACAATCATGTGAAAAACTGGAGCTGTACATGCTTTCCTATTTCCTGCTGTCAGCCTTCTGTTGGCCCTGCTTGTCTCTGCCAACTATAAGTTGGAGACAAGTATTTGCTCTACTCACATAAGCTCCTTTTCTCCTCCCGTGCAGAATCCTGCACAGTCATGAGCTCAATGGGAGAAGCATCTGCTTATAAATAGCCCCCCCCTGTATAGATGGATTCATTAAACCATCAATTATGAGGGTTGGGCCGTATCTTGAGATCATCTAGCCCATCCTCCTGTCCAGTGCAAGAATTCCCTTCTGTCGATTCAACCTAGGATTATATTTGTTTTTGTTTTGCTTTATTTATTTATTGTAATGGCGCACTGCTGCAAGAAAACTGTCACACTATTAATGCATGTTCAGCTTGTGATCCACCAAGACACCCAGTTCGATTCATTCATTCATTCATTCATTCATTCATTCATTCATTCATTCAATTTATATAGCCACCAATCTCAGACCAGTGACTCTGGGCAGCTAACAACAACAAAAACAACATTAAAAACAGTACAAAAAATAAATATGATATAGATGCAGCCAAGAGATCTTAAAAAAACATTGATGTCAACACAACCATGAAACAGGGCACTTCACACACTTGGGGCCCCAGGCCCGGGCACAAAGCCAGGTCTTCAAGGCCTTCCGAAAAGCCAAAAGGGTCGGGGCCATCCTAATCTCAGGAGGGAGGATGTTCCAGAAGGCAGGCGCCACAGCAGAAAAGGCACATCTCCTGGTCCCCGCCAGCCAATATTCCTTTGCTGACAGGACCTGAAGCATGCCTGACCTGCTGGACTGGATTGGACGGGTGGAAACATTATGCTTTTCATATGCTGATGCTCAGTATGGTCTCATTTGAGAGGGTACACATATACCTTGAGTAAATAAATAAAATCTTACTGATGCCTTTGTTCTTTTCTACCCAAATTAATAACTCTGCATTCTTCTTTCTTGAAATTCATCTTACTGGTTTCTACCCATTGTTCCAACTAGTGAAAATTCTCCTGAATATTGATAGTGTCCTCTGTTTGCTATTCTCCTATCTTTGTATGGCCTCCAAATCTGATAATCATGTTTTCTAATCTTTATCCAAGGCATTTATAAATAAGTTGAACCATACTCATTTGAGAACAGATCTCTGCAGTATGCAACTGGACATACTCAGTTGGACATACACAGAGCCATCGATATATACCATTTAGTTCAGTAGATAGCATAATCTAGCCCATATTTTCTACCCTCTCTGCTAGGATCTTATGGGAGACTTTGTCAAATACTGTGCTGAAGTCAGTATATTCCTTTGTCCACTGCTTTCCTGTGCTCAATTACTGTCAAAAAAAAAAAAAAGATCAAATTGGTTTGAGGTCACAGCATGATAAATCCATGTTGGCCCCTGCCAAGCAGTGCATTCTTTTCTAAATGTTCACTGACTGACTTATTTATAATGTGTTCCAGAGATTAGCCTGAAATTGCCATCAAGCTCACTAGTCTGTGGTCACTCACAATATCCTCCATTTCAAAAACATTTGTCCTTCTCCAATCCTCTGACACTATGCTTAACCTCCATGATTTCTCAAAGGTCTTGGAAAGGGGCTCCCAAATGACATCCACGACCTCCTTCAAGAGTCCTAGATGGAGTTGTTGGGTTGAAAGTGGGTATGAGTCCATTCTCCCTTCATCACTGGTTAATTTGTGAGGAGGGCTGCCCAAATAGTGTTAACATCTGTGCTCCAGTTTTCTATTCTAGCAACAATTCATTGGAGACAATAGAACCAATTCTCCAGAGAACTGGTGGGTTCTCTTTCATGTTGAAGAAGCTGGACAACTGACTTTCTGGGAACTTTAATTTTGGATTCTTGCACTGAACTGAGATTTGGACTCAAAGGGCTATTTGGCCCCTTCCAGTGCTATTAACTTCAAAAGCATAAATGCAAAACGTGAGAAAAAACTGGGAAAAAATTAAAGTAGTAAGATATGGAGTGGCTCTTAAGATATCCCACAGCTGCTTCCCTGCCCCCATGTTATCATGATAGATTAAAAAATACTGTATTGAGAAAAATTGGAAGAAGAAAAAGAAGTGGGGGATTAGGAACGCCAGAGACGTCTGCATTAACTTATTTGTCCCCAGAAATTCAGTTTCAGAAAAGTCTCTGATAATAAGGGTCCCCAGGCCATCCCTATACACAAAAATGAAAAGTTGTTAAACTGATGTTCTAGAAGCAAAATGAAAATGTGTATTTCACGGAGTATTTAATATAGTAAGTGGTATAAAATATCCTCCACAATTGTCAAAATCCTTTTGTAAAGTTTACTGAAAAGTAAGTGTTCCTTTTGTACAGGCATTTCTAATATTAATTAATAGCTTCCTACTTGCAAGCTCATTGCTTCCTGTCATTTGTGATTTTAAATAGTAGTTAAATAACTTCTCTTATTTACTCTTAGAATAGTCTTCCTGAATTGTCCCTGTGTGAGTTTCTGTTTAACAGAGGGTTAATTACTGGTTCCCATGCGTGTGTTTTTCTTTCATTTCTTTAGCAAAATTGCTGTTCTTGCTATAACAGCAAAAAGAAGAAAAGACATGAAGAAACCTATAGCGAAGAATTTCCTTGTCAGCACTGGAGCTATTAAGGCATGCTGTTACTAATATTTGAGTTTTGATCAACAGGAAAAATTAAAAGATCAGGATCTGTAAACAGGAAGTATCCAATAAAAGGCAAAAGGGACTACTCATGCCCTCCCTCTCTTCACTTCAAAATCTCCAAATGGTTTTCAGATGGGGGGGGTTGACTCATGAAAGGATAAGAAAAACATGATTTGCAGTGACCTCTAAATTTCTCAGAATAAATGAACGAACAAATAAATGAGCAGTTAGGAAATCTAGGGGGGAAATCTAGTATGAAAATACACAGCTATCACAAGCGAGTCATTGAATGCATTTGCACAACTTGGATGCTCTGTGGCTCCTCTCCCCGGTCATCGCAAATCTTAAACACACGTGGGGGTTTCTAGCAACCATGTCATGCAAACCCAGCACAATAACTGCTTCTGGTTAGAATTAACCAAATGCCCTGCTCATCTATTTAAAATGAACATAGTCATCATGTCAGATTTGGATTTTACAGCTGCCAGAAAATAAATCACAATGTCTGGGGAAAGGAGTCAGTATGTACTTCTTTGGCTAAATTATGATTAGCAGTGACTATTATGAACCTATCTGGCCGTTAAAATTCTCAGAAGAGAGTATTTTAAAGATCACCCTGCTGTGAGAGGCTCCTCTGACTAGCTCAGTGTTTCTCAACCTTGGCAACTTTAAGATGTGTGGACTTCAACTCCCAGAATTCCCCAGCCAGGACCTAGCTGGGGAATTCTGGGAGTTGAAGTCCACACACCTTAAAGTTGCCAAGGTTGAGAAACACTGGTCTGGCTCATAGGAGAGGACCTTCTCCTGCATCTTCCCAGGCCTAGTAATCCACTCTTGTACAAGTTGTGTTTGTCTTTCCTTCTCTCACTATAACAGGAAATCAGATGTACCCCTTTGAGCAGCCTCTGATTAAAATGGTAATATCTAGCCAAGATTAGAAGTAATTGATAGCCTTTGAGAAATGGTGTTTATTCTTCAACAAGATTTTGCAT